TGAGGTGGATACCGTAATACTTTAAATGTCTTCTTTTTCCCCTTTTAAATTCTGGTTAAGTACTTCTGTTCATTTTAATGTAAATGTATTTTCCCTGTATTACCTATATTTTACATAGTGTTTCACTGGATCATCAGTGCGGGATGCTACAGTATATGCCATTCTGTGTTCCTTTTCTTTCGCTGTTTCCATCTGTCTCCTTGAAGGTTAATTAATGTGTGCAGGAGGGCCTGCTAATCACTTTGATATCATCTAATGAGCTAAACCTGAGCGAAATCTTACATTAGTTATATCTTAGCTCTGTTGCTTTGTCAAGCAGGATCTTGAATGTGCTACACTGAAACTCATTTTGGGGAACTAATTGCTGGAGTTAGGCTGTCAAATAGGAATAGATGATCAATCAACAGCTGCCTTACTGTAATATCAAACACTTGTTTATATACAAGTTGTTAGGCTTCATATAGCATCAGACTTAGTTCCATGGCGACAGAAAAGTGATACAGCATTTTTATAAATCTGCTGAACTCCTGGTAGCACTCACATAAGTCTTCTCTGTGAACTGATACGAGGGATAATGCTGGAGAACTAAATTCTGAAATGAGCAAACGAGAAGGAAATTATTTATGTATGTATGTGTACAGTTTTTAAAATCCTTTTAAATCACAGCTCACTTAAGTCCTGTGATGCTTTTCATAATATTTCCTGTGACCTGCAGGCCATACGAAAAAGGGAAGGGTGTTTGCTGGGCTGCCATTTAGAGATGTGAAGTGCAACCTGGTCTGTAGTCCAAAGCCAGGATCCTTTCCACGTTCAGCTTTTTTTCAGTAAACAGAATTTCTGCAGTGCAGTGAGCCCATTGACAGCTGTGGAAATACCTGCTTGCTTCGGGAGGCTGGCATAGATGAAGCCAAGCAGGGCTCATTTCAGCCGCAGAATAAGCGGGATCCTGCTTAGTCCTGTTAGCTGAGCTTGACACACCAAGGCCAACAACAACCAAAATAAGTAAATAAATTAGGATCTAGGGGATAGAGAAGGAATAGAAGTAGAAGACAAGTGGGACATGGTTAAGCACAGATTAAAGTTTGCTCAGGTCTAATTTAGGAGTTATCATCCCTCCTATGGTATGCTCAAAAATGTTCAAATGGTATTCAAAGTGCTTTCGTTTTTATGGAACATGATAGCTTAGCTCACTAGCTCAGTAGAGGTTTTATAACAAAGTTTTCTTCTTTCCTTGAATTATTTTTTTCTTGTAATTGAAATAATGATTTACTTTACTAAAAATATTAACTTGCAACATCCAGTGGAGCTGGTTTGTGAACAAAGCCAAAGTTTAACAAATTGTGGGCAAGGAAGCAAAATGATGTTAAAACAGCTGCCAGCCTGTGCACTTTGATTCTAGTTTGGGAAAGAATATTGCTTGCAGACGTACCAAGTATTTTCTTATGGTAGAAGTCTACAAAACTGCCAGTAACCCATCTACCACCAGAAGTATGTCAGAGCTAGGTTTTGCCAGTGTTTTCCTTTAAAAATGACTTGCAAAAGGCTGCTTGCATGTTTGTGCACGGAAGTGATAAGCCAGCCTCTATGCAGTTCAATTGAGAGAGAAAAAACAGACCTTGAATATCCACTTTCATACTCCTTGATCTTATGGCAGAATTCAATGCACATTAAGGAAAATAGCCTTTAGTATCCCTGGAAGCATATGTCTGCTGGAGAGCTGGAGGCTTCTCAGGTACCTGCAGCTCTGCCTGCTATAACCTACAAAGGTAATTCTTTCAGGTCAGTTGCAAAATTTGTGTGTGCATACTTAGAGCGTCAGCATGATGCCATAGTGGCTCAAAGCCCAATGAGTTGCAAATTTTGCTGTTAACTAGCAAGCCTCCTCAAAATCAGTTTGTCAGCTTTGATTTTTTCCATGTAGGATGATCTTGATAGAGACTGGATCTTGCTGGTTGGTAGAGAAAGATACTTTGAAGGATTTCACTGTATACAAAACTTCATTCTGAATAGCATACCCACAAATGGTTAAAGTGGCTTAGAAATCCCATGGATGACTGACTTGATTTTTATTTAGTTAAGCTCTGTAGAGAGCCATCACAAGTAACGTACTGGATTACTTGGCAGGCTGAGACATCTGCTGGCACTTCTGAGGTAGGTTACAGCAGTAAGGTTTCCTATTGCAACATGCTGAAATCTCTCCAAAACATAATGGTATTTAGTAGTAAATGCTATTGTATAGAGATGAAACTGTATGAAATTCAAGGTTGCAGGCGTTGTCTTAAAAAAGGCTAAGGATCTGCGCTCCTGCAAAAGTTTTATAGCAAGACTGAGGGCTATTATTAGCAGTGCTGCACCTGCGAAAGAGAAGGAGCTGACAGAAGAGTGAAACCAGATTCTGGACTTCAGTGCAACTTATTATTAGGAAAACTCTATATGCACCTCGTCAGTGCCTGTCCTGTTGGAAATTGAATTTAGGTGTGTAATTGATACGCTTAAAAGCCTGCTAATGGTAATTCAATGCTTCAAACTATGTACTTGGTTTGCTTAGCGTTTTGGATGAAGTGCCTCATTTTATGCATATTACACCTTTGTGCCTATTTGATTACTCAGGAATAGCTTGAGCTGACTCTTAATCATTCTTCCCATGTTACAATCATCTGAAAACTTAATGATCTTGCACACTAATAGCTTTGTCCAAGTTGTTAATAAATTAGCACCCTTGGGGACCAAGCCATACGGACTTCCACAGAATGTACGCCTTGACTTTCTTCCCTTTCTGCTTTTCACCCTGCTAAACAATTGCTGTTAGTTGCTGTAATTTACTCCCTGACTCTGTGGCCAGGGTCTGTCTTTTATGTCTCCTTCATCCAACCCCTAAGCTTTTACTTGACAGCCATCTGACACCCTACAGCTCAGTCTTCTGGTACTTTAGATGAATGATAAAATTCAAAAGCCTTGTAATTCAGCCTGTCCCTCTTTATACTCCTACTCCTGTGGTTCCCTTGTGATTGCTCAAGAAGTGTTTTCGATATGTCCTCTCCAAACAGGATAAGAATCTGGAGGATGGAATGACATTTAAATTGCAACTCTGTCTTGAGATCCCTAAAAATAGAAGGAAAATTATTGTAGACTTTGTCAAAGCAAAGTCTAGATTATTGAAAATGCATGAACTAGCTGACAGAGAAGATGGTGTAGCCTACTGAAGGTGAGTCTTAGTAGTAGGGTAGTAGCTGTTAAGTGCAGAGACTGAGGGGAAATAACCATAAAGAAATGAAAGGAAGAAACCTGTTTGTGGGTTGATAGGGTTTTTTTTTTGTTTTAACATGTGTTCAAGCCTAGAAATCCTGTGAGTGCTTTTTCAGTGAAGGCTAAGTGGCTTTTAGTCTAGTAAAGGGCCTACCAACTTTCAGTGAGGAACATAGTATTTCAGGTCGTTAAATAGAGCTCAGATGTAGGTATGTGACCAGCACCTATTTAATTCTGATCAGATCTTTGGTTCATCCAACACTGAGAACTGGGGTCATCAGCGTCCAAAACAATTGCTGTGTAAATGCCGTGTTCGGATCCCATTATAGTTATTGAGGCATGTTGTTCGTGGATAGAAATTGAGTGATGCTGTTCCGGATTTTATCCTCAAGAAAGGTGATATTGATACAAAATCATTTATGGTATCTCAAAGAAAGTACTGTGGTTGGTCGCAAGCTGAGTAGCTGCTCCTGGTGGTTCACTTACCCATTCTTTTGCCATGTTTTCTAGGTATCAGAAAATATTTGGGGTGAAAAGCATATTTTGGCTGCATAGCATTGTATAAATATTTGCTAGCTCCATTGCTTGGCTCTACTTCCAATCTGTGTCATGAAGAGTTTTGCAAGACACGAGGTTTGCAGGCAGCAATGGTATATTTTACCAGGCCAATTGTTACAGCTGGAAAATAAGGGCACATTTTTGGATGCACAAAGCTGTGTTTGGTCTGAAGCAGCTGTTAAGGCAGTGGCTGTGCAGTAACCAGAAGCAGATATCGATGTGTGTGTTCGTCAGCCCGCTGAACTCCTGATAGGGAGTGACGTAACTTGTGGCTAGGGAGTAATTATAATACTCTGAAATAGGAGTTCAGAGAGTGGTTAGTGCAAAGGGCTTGCAGAGTTTTGTTGTCTTGCAGAGTACTTATGATCGTTAAGGAGGAACAAATGAGCACAAGTCACTTATTTACTCTGAGGTAAGGTGGCGTATATAGAAATGTTGGTGCAGTTTTTAGGGACTGATGTTCCTCCAACCACCCACACCACATCCCTGGTTGATTTACTTCGAGTTCTTTAAGGCAGAGGTCTTTCTATCACATTGCAAGAGCAAGGATGCAGATCTTTTTATAAAGTTCTTGGAGTGACAGTTAAAAACTTGTGTTACCCTTCAAAATACCGTATCACAAAAATGCGCAGAAATACAGATGGGATTTTTAACAAACTATGATGATCGCTTTCTGACATGTACAGCAGAGGATTGTGTCTTCCACCTATTGACTTCTGCAACACTGGCTTGTTTTTTTCCTTCTAAATTATTGGATCTTGCGAAGTCTTTATTATACTGTTTGATAATCTGAACTTGATACATTGACGAGCTGAACTGAGGTATTTGTAAGTGGTATGCTTTTGAAATGTATGTCAGTTTATCAGTAAGTGAAGTGGTGCTTCACATTAGCATTGGCATTATTAAAAATACCACCAAATTTTGGTTTTTTATATATATATAGTAAACCCTGCAGTAGAAATGTTTCATTCTGTGTCAATAGCTTTTCACCAATGAAGACAAAATAAATGTCAATCACTGGCTGTTACTAGCTGCGTTTTTCTGCTCTAGAATAAATACTTTCTGCAATGAAAATTTGCACTGTAAAAATACAAAATTATGTGATAGCTTCACTGAAACTTAGTCTTTGGTCTTTACAGACTTCCTTTATCTGGGACTTCCAGATGTGTTAATGCTGCCTTCATTTTGTCTTTCAGATGACGATGTGGACCTAGAAGCTTTGGTAAATGACATGAATTCCTCATTTGAAAGTTTATACTCTACATGCAGTATGCAGTCGGAAACCACTCCGCTTCTTCAAAATGGTCAGCTCAACCGCAGTCAGTTGCCGTCCTCAGGATCTGGCGCACTGCAGCCCATGTCTCCAAGGCAGAAGGTGCAGCGGTCTCAGCCAGTGCGCATTATGGCAGTCAGGTAGGAACAAGGGGCTTGCCTCCTTTTTGTTAAAGTTGTCTTGAACTAGCTTCAAAAGAACTACACTTTAAAATAGGAAATCAGCTTCGGTAGGAGCCTAGTAGTGTTAGACTGGACTTTTGCATAGGAAAAAAGATGTACTGAGTAGGTGAAGGACATAAATTTTCCATGTATTCTGTAAAATGTGAAAAACGTCACATTTTTGCCTTTTTTTATCCCTGTTTGATGTACCTGTAGTAGCAGACGTGTAGAAGCGTATCATTGGTATCAATTTGTAGAAATTATGTCCATATTTGGATTTTTTTTCCAAACTTTTAAAAACTGTTCTCTCAGGTATGGCGCCTACTGACAGCTTCTTGGTTTTATAAAACATAAGAGATCATGTAGATAGATGAGGGTGCATTCAGCTAGTTTTGCTATACAAAAAATACCTCTCTTTGTGGAGGTTTCCTGAACGGTCCAAGACGAACAAACAAAAAAGGAGCACATCATAGTTATTTAGCTGTTCTTCCTAGAGCACTTTCAGCTCTTTCACTTGAGTGCATTATGTGAGTCATTACAAAAAAAAAAGTGTTTAAGTTGTCTCCCTGTTGTCAGGATGGGGGCTTGAATTCAAGCTTCAAGTGGAATGCTCTTGATGGTGATGGGAGAGTCTATAGGTGATGCTTAAAAATCTTCTTTTTAGGCAGCAGAAGGAAAGGAGCTCCTGTCAGCATGAGTAGGTAAATTGCCTGAATCAGAGAGACTTGGAGTTTTCCTTTCCTTCTAGTTAACAATGTCTTCTCCAAAAGAAGTGAAAAGTAATAGTAATAAAAGAAAAATCCCGGATGTGGAAAGGGTTGCTCCTAATTCTTTATGCTGATGAATTTCCTATAGGAATGGTATTCTTAAGACAGGCAGCTTTTCTATATGAATGGGTAATATGCAGTAACTGCAATACAACCAAGTCAGCTAATGATGCAATCATTTTTAGAAGTATTTCATATTTAACCTTGAATAGGGCTGTACTAGAAAATGCACTCTCTAGAGTACTATAACTGTCAATGTTTTGTAAATATCTCAATCAAAACACTTAATTTAAACTATTCTTGGCATTTCAAAACTTAGCAACTCTTTTTTTGAGAACACTCTGCCTTTCTGAACTCCTGTACTTCCATACGCACAAGAACATTGTGTGTTTATCATTAAAGAAAACAATGGCGAAACTTTTATTCAGGGTTATCTAGATACCTTTCCCATAGAGGGGGATGGCTGCATCTCTTTTGCAACCACAACAGAATGTTTGACTGTAGTAATTCTCTTAAGAGCACAGTTTTAAGTGTATATCAGTCATGAAGTAAACGATGCACTGCAGCAGTATAGCAGAGCAGAGCGCAGCATACTGAATTCTCATTTTAAGAAAATCACACCCTTCTAATTGTGTCGAGTCTGTAGTTCCGCTTCTTACAATGGAGGTCAGTCAAAAACTTGCAATACAGAGCGCTATTACACAGCTGCCGATACAAGAAGTCTGCTGGGCTGAAGAAACCTTAACACCGTCCTTTACCCTATGCTGTAAGGAAGTGCACACGTGGGTAGTACAAAAAAGATCAGGCAGGTCAAGTAGTCGTTTGCATGGCTCATAGTTGTGGCTGGAACCTGCTATTTATAGCAAAACCCCAAATCTGTAAGGCTCATTCGTGGAACACCAAAGGAACGAAATTGCAGGATAGAGTTACCTGCGGAGCAGATTTCCCAGTGGTTACTTTATCAGCCCCCGGCTTCTGGTACAGGCAGAGACACCGGGCATGCGCAGAGTGGGACAGGCTGCCAGAGGCGAACCCAGCAGTTGCCTCCCAGGCAGCTCTGTTAAGAAGGCTCTGCTTGCTGATGGCATGGGAAAAAAATGAGAGCAAATTGAGTTTTTAATGACTTGCATTTCAAATCCAGGAGTTAGTTGTCTCTGGAAACTTCCACGATTGCCACTAGATGGTGCCTTCTGCAAAGGCGTTGCAGGCCAGCCTGCTGCAGAGTCACATAGTACAGCTTCAGTGGTCGTGCCCTAGCAGTAGGGAAACCTAAAGCAATCTGTGTGGTCATAAATAGGTCTTACCTCTTTTCAAGCTTTTCTGTGGCAACTGGTAGGCTTTACTTTTCCTTTTGTTGCTGTGGGCAGTACAGGTGTATTATAAACTGGAACTTGAAACTCTGTTGGTCCTACGCAAACTCGTAAGGCGCATCTCAGGAGGTGCAAACTTGTCTGAACAGTAACCGTACAACTATCATGAAGTGGGAGGGTGTAATTGCAGTTTACTACTCAAGCTCAGTCTTTGCATTTCCATTTCTCCAGGAAATGCCGAGTTGCTTGGAGATGGAATCTGGTATTGTAACGAGGTGACGATATTTGTTTCAGTCTCAGCTTAGAGACTTTAGGGGGTACACCTTCGTTTGCAGATCCACATGGAATTTGGCTCCAAGTGACTGCAGTTGTGTTCTCTTCTTTCACATTCATTTGGAAGAGCTTAACTGACTTTCTGGCACACAGAGCTTAAGCTTGTAAGCTAGTGCTTACATCAGTGAGTACAGATGGATATTTCTGTTTATTTTATGTGCACAGTTACCTCAGTTACTCACCCAAGTAATCTAGTTATCAGCAACACAACAAGCATAGATGCCTGGCCGGTCATTTTTCACATGCAGTTACCTACTTTGTACTTGCAGTTGCTGTAACTGTATAGTAGTTGCTTAGAAAAAGAGTGAGTTTGATTCCTTTTCTTTAGTATCACTATCGTAAATAGTGGGGAAGGAGATCCAGGTCTAGTGATGCCAGTTTGCTCCTCTTAATGCTTAGTGCTTCTGTGTTTATAGGCGTCTTCAAGAAGAAGAACAGCAATTCAGAACATCGTCTTTGCCGGCCATCCCAAATCCCTTCCCAGAACTTTGTAGCCCCGCAAGCTCTCCAGTGCTGGCCCCTGGATCTTTACCTCAGAGTCAACCTGCTAGTAAGCATGTGAGTATGGGACGAAGCTTTGGGTCATCCATTCACGTTCAAACCAGCAGTGGACTAGTTCATTTTGAAGGCAGAAAGAAAGTTGCAAGATAAGTAGAAACATTTGTAGGCTTTGTCTGTGAGTAGGGCAGCACTGGCTGAGAGAGTGTCTTCAAACAGGCTTCAGACCTTTTTTAGAAGGTTTGTAAGAATGAAGTGTAAAAATGAGGCAAGTCTCTTTCAGATACATGCATGTTGTGAATGAAGCAGTAATGCCTAATATCTTTCGGATTTTGTTATCCAAGGTAATGACTTACTAATTCAGATGTCAAGTTAATTAGCTTAGAGTTGGAAGAGGATCTGTGCATGTTATACTGCGTATTCTAGGTGCCACAAAGACACTGAACAGCTGTCTTTTTTCTTTAAGGACATATTTTGCTGTTTTTCATGAAGTTGCTCAAAAAGCAAAATAACGTTCTTAGAGCTTGTAACTAGACACAGCTCCTTGTAATGGGACTTAAGGGGAGAACTGTCCCACGGAAGGCTGGTTGAGCAACTCTCTGGGTTCTTGGCATCGAAGATAGCACAGACTGAGCTCTCACGTAGTCCAGAGCGATAACCTCAGTGACACTGCAAACAGTTTTTCTTCTCTATCCCACTCCACTCTCTGAGAAACAACCATCTTGTTTTGTATCAGTCCTTGAGCATGTTTAAAGACTAAAGCTGGGCTCAAAAACCTTTGTTTTGTAAACTGTGCTGGCTTGCATGGGGATGAAAAGATGGTTGCTCTTACTGACTATTAAAACAGTCGTGTGCTTGAGTACCCAAAAATATGATGATGTTCTTTCTGTATCACTGCTCGATTAGTTTGTAAGTAGCTCCTACATCTGCTCTGACTGATAAAGGGGTTTGGGTGGACAGTTCAGCTACAAGCAGTAGACCCTAATGTATACCTTCACATCTTCTGTATTGCTTTACATCGCCATAAACAGCTGTCTGCTTTCTTGAAAGACATAGTGCATCTTCATTGGTTTTACTGTATTTCTTATACGTGCAGGACAACCAAATAATGCCCCAGGAGAAAATTGAGTCATCCAGTTGGGAATTTAGCAGGACCTCATCAGAGGCCTGGGTACCAGCTAAGCAGAGAGGCTGTTTTGCCAAGGCAGTGCTAATCTGACTCCAGGGAGACAAAACAAGGGGCAATTCTGCCTCCTGGCACGTGCTAACAGGACAGCAGCGTAGCTGCCTTTCTGAGACAAACTGAAGTTGCTGATGAACCTGCATTTACCTTTCCAAATATTCCCCAGTTTCAGGGATTCTTTGCCTTTTAGCTTTATGTTTTACTAAAATTAACCAAGCCACCCTAAAGATCGCTCTGTAAAGCCTTAAGAAACCTAAATGATCTCTGCGTCAGTTTTCAATGGAATTTAGAAACTAGCGGTGCAACAGCACATAAATATAAAAGTAAACAATATTTTAATGCATGTAAGAAGATGGCTATAAAGACAGAATAAAAGGAGATTTTCTTCCTAAATATTACTTTATACTTTTAAAAAAAATTAATCTACCTAATTCTAAAATGGAAAATTTTGACAAGCCTTTTGAAAGCCTAAAATGAAATAAACATTTATATTGTGTAGATATGCTTGCTGCTGAAGCTTTTAATCAAAAACAATCCATTATAGTGGTAAAACCTTTCAGGGTACGAGCTGAGGAGGTAAAGCATGTTGGACAATAGTGGCTGCTTCTGTAGATGCAGATACACTGTTCATGTCAGTTTATCAACTGATTGGAGGCAGATGAGAAACACTGGCTCAGGGTGAGGGAAGGATAGGGAAGTGTTCTTTTCCTCTCTAATGAATTATTTTCCCCTCTTTAATGAAGGAATAGAGGAACAGAACTGAAAAAACCCTCTAGTTTTAAAGTATTGAGGGACAGAAGAAAAGAAAAGGGTAGGTTCAGTTTCTTCATGAAGGAAGAAAACTTTAATACCTCAGTTTTAAACGTGGAGTGTTGTTGGATAACAAAATAATCTGTCTGTTCAGCCTCCTCATAGGACGTTAATTGTGTTTAATCTAGTTCTAGTTCCCTTCAATGGAGTCTGCTAAACATCATGAGTAAAAAATCAGTAACTTAAGAAACATTATACATCTTTCCAACTTCATCCCATTAAAAAAATGTAAAGTTTGGGAACTTGAGTAAATTTATTTTAGGACATGCTCTTGCTTAGATGAATGTCCATAGATACAATATAAACTACTGGTTAACCAAATAAGTGATGAGCTTAGTTAAAAGACTGCAACAGCATGTTTTAATGGCTGGCAGTTAGTGAAAATGAGCTGTGTTTTAATAAAAATATAAACACAATGTTAAATGCAAACCAAGGTTAAACACAATGATGCTTAATTTCAGGTTCTCTTCTTGCGGGTTATAAACAAGGATTAAAATTGGAGATTGGAATGAGCCATTCTGATTACATGGGATGTATGAGGTGTTAGTGAAAAGTAATTCCCTTCGTGCCTCTCGAGCATTTGCGGGTAAATAGGCAAATAGCAGTTCTAGCCGGCAGCGCTGCAGCTCTGATCACATGCATGGCGTGGAGGAAATATTGCCTTTGGTCAGCTCGCATCTAGGGGACTTGAGAGGGACCCAGGTTAATGTAGTCTTAGGGGATTTCAGGAAGGAGCGGCTATTTTGTTTGCTGACTGTGTGAAACAGTGGGGGGTCACTGGGAAGCTGGGATGTCTGATACAACTTCATAAGAAATGAAGTGTCATCAGTGTTGTTCCTCACGGAACAACTCAGTCTTATTTTTTAGTAATTTTTAAAATACAACTCTGCAATGATAAAACCTAGTAGCAGTTATGCAAGAGGAGTTTAAAGGTCCGGTCATGTTAAACACAGAAGAGTCTCATGTCATATTGCCAAGCCTTGGGCATAAAGAAATGGCAGCTCTGTTCAAGTTTTACTGAATTAAAACTTCTTCCCAGTATATTGTTCCCTATAGGAAAAGGATGCATGTGTGAATGAAAGAGTGACTAAAGGAGCTTTCAGGTCATAAAGCCTGAATTATATTTGCAGCTGAAAAAAATGGATGTTGTCTTTTCTCATATGCAAAATTTTATGTGTGTAACTGGAGCTTGAGACATACATTTCTCGTTAAGATGCTTCTGATCCTTTTCCTTATTTTTTTCATGCAGTTGCCACCGCTTTTTTTAACAAGCGGTTTGCAACATTGCTTATGCACTGCTCTGCATTTGTTTCATGCTCTTTATTGGCTCAGCAAAGAAAGGTAAAGCAGTAAAGCAATGAAAAATAGCTGTAATAAACCTTTCTTTTTGCGGTAGATTTTTTTTGTGTTCTCATGATGATGATGCATTTTATTTATCTTACTCCAAAAAGTGCATCTATCAGGATTAATTTATCTTTTTTTAATATATTTTTGGAGATCTGTTGGGTAATGGTACCGATTTCACCACAGCAGGAAGCAGTATGCTACCTCTAGCTCTGCTGCCAATCAGGCGCTGAATACTGCTTTTAAAGCTGATGGCTGCAGGAGCGTACTGCAGCTGCTCCCCAGAAGACAGAGAACAGTGAGAAATAACGGGTCTTCCGTACTAGCACAAAACTAAAAACACATGTAGGCAAATGGGATAGTCATTTAATGGGGAGCATCAATATATCAATCTGGGAGGTAAAACTGGAATGTTAGGCTTATTGAAATCATTGCAGATTTTGTTTTTTTATTTGACTCTGGATAATCTTCTCTGGTTCGGAAAAAAGCCTAAATTAGAAGATTTTGTAGATACCTTTTTTAAGCACACAGGCAGGTTGAGTAACTGACACATAATTTAGTAGTAAAAGACTTAGAAGAGAAATAACTGTAAACTTTTAGGTTATGTTTCAAAGGCTGTCCTGCACTGAGCAACCTCCACAGTGGCGGGGTCTGGGCTAATACAGTTGTGTGACCAAACTCATCTGGCAGTAGAGGTTAAGGAATTACTTGTGATTAAACAGACATACGCTCCTTGGGAGTTCAGCGCTATGATCCTTTATTACAGTTCTGCAGGTGGAAACAGCCCACTTTGAGCTAAGTTTTACGGTGAGAAACGTTAGATGTTGACCTGTTGATAGTGAACGGCATGTGGTTCTGTAAAAATTGGAACCACTGAAGTTTTAGTAACATAGTCAACCAACTGGTGAGTGTCTGGGCGAAAAGTACCAACTAGCTGTGCTATTGAGTCAGTAGCTACTTCAGCTACTGGTGTGGTGAGCGAGATGCTGCAGATGTCTTGTGTTTGGAGAAAGTATGTCCCTTCAAGCGGTAGCTGCCAAAAAGCTGGTGAGTTCTTGAGTCGAAAGCAGCATTGTCCGTGAGCTTGGGCAGGAGAGGACCTACCTGATCAGTGGATGCCCAGCCACTTCCTCCTTCATCATGTGCCTCTCTGTCCTCTAAGTACCACCCGTCTGCCTCTCACCACAGAGCCTGACTGCGAGCCAGGAGAAGCTTCAGCAGACCTCTGTGAGCATGTAAGTGCTCCCACTTCCCGTGCTGGGAAGGGCAGGTAAAGGCGGGAGCAGGAAGGACGTTGTCTGGGTGACACCAATGGGGCATTGCAAGACCATTTGATGTCTTTTTTTTCTCTCCCTTTTCCCCACATTTTTGTTCGTAAAACACATGCACACCTACAAACACGAGATCACCCCACGTCTGAGGGGGACTGTGATTGCGGGCTGGGAGAAGGGACAGCTGAAAGTTTTTAAAACATCATTTACTTAACAGGATAAATATGTTTGTCTAAGAAAAATGGAAACCAGAAAATTACACCAAACCAAGACCAAACATTTGTCCAAAAGATTGCTAAAAAAATCGGACAGCTAGGTTACCGCTAATTGAAGTCCATCTTTGTGTTGCTGGTATAAACTAAGAACTGGTTGGTAACTTAGGTTATAATTTCTGGTTGTGTACAAATATTTTGGAAAAAGCATGCAATAATTACATGTAGGTCACTGCAATG